CATTAAATAAAAGAATACATCATCATAACTTTTAATAAAATGAAGAATATAGGATTTAAGTAAAATTCAAACAAATTAATATAACATGTCTGGAAATACCATCTTACTCACTATCAGCAGTTGCATCTTCCAATGAACGGTTCATTACTGTTGTTCATAATGGTGCAACGGATTATGCTCATAAATATGCATGTGTTCTCCTTCATCTTCACTATTACTACCACTAGCAACAACAAAGCCAGGGGCAAGACCACTCTTACTTGTGCGACCAATGTTTGATGCTCCATCCCAGTGTGAAGTGCACTGCTGAAAGACACCCTCCATACCCATAAAACCCCCAGCACCCACAGGATTGACATGATTGTAACCAAAGAGATGAGTAGAGGGCTGGCCATAAACTGGAACAACAAACCCACCGGCAGTTCCAATTAAGCTACGAGTTAGTACTGCTCGGGGCCCCACAGCATAGCTGTGCTGAAAGCCACCATGGACAAAACTCATGGCAGGATAAGACGGCATACCCATAAAAGAATGTTCACGACAGCGACTTGGTGTCAATACTGAGGTATCTCTGTAAGGAGAAAATTGGTGGGCAGCATAGTCAACTCCTCCACGATAGCTATGACGGCGTAGGGGAAGACTTGCATAGCTATATGGGGAAACAACCTGGGGGGCATGCACTTCATAATGGTGGTACGAACCGTTAATAGCTGGTAGTCCAGGAGAAGTGTGGGAGAAGTGCAGACTTCCAGCACTTGAGTTCTGTAAGTGGTTTCCCAGTGATTGGGAAATTGCTAATTGTTGTGGTGGTGGAGGTGGCGGAGGAGTTTGCTGTTGTTGTTGTTGCTGCTGCTGATGATGTTGCTGTTGCAAGTTATGCTGAAGTTGTAACTGCTGTTGCATCTGTTGCTGCTGAAACTGTTGCATCTGAGTATGTTGGATGATATTTGTTACATGAGCAGCTTGTCCCTCACTCGGAAGCACAGTTCCATTCTAAAATCAGAAAAAAAAAGGATGACACATTTAGAAACTGATCATAACTACGATCATGAGAACAAAAAATTTGGTGCGACAGCAAGGTTGTGTTTAGTAAGGGGTGTGCTGACCGCCCTCAACTAAGGTGTAATGTAGATTTACCGTACATTACAAATTACAGCTTACCGTCAGCTGGTCCTCACAAGGGAACCTTGTCAGGTGTAAAACTCAGATTTCAGTGAAACTAAAAAAATTTGAAGGTTATCTATATAGAACTCTGATGGCTCTTAACAGTTTTCCTGAACCTCTAAATTAGTCCATGGGTAGGGTACACAAGACTATTAAAATATGAATAAAAATTAAACCTATTTTTCTAAGGGGTAGCACCCTTCGATCCAAACTTTTGCCAGTTTTGCTCCATTTTGTTCTGTTAAGGGGGTAGAGGGATATTTGGGACAAAAAGCAGTGTACGTCGTAAGCACACCCCTACTGATTGTGAGGTTCAGGAAAAAATTCAAGTACCATCAGACTTCTATATAAGTAAACTTCAATTTTTTTGCATTTCAGCGGAATGTGAGATTTACACCTGAAGAGGTTCTCTTGTCAGAGGTACTGCTTTTGAAAGTGCCTGACCAGACCAAAAACATATTTTAAAAAAGGCTATTTTTCCAGCTTCTTAATAGTTTTTCAACGGTTAGCGGTCAGGCAAAGGCAGTGCCTCCTGAGGGCTGGCTTGGGCCAGCTAGCACCCCTCTAACAATAGACACAACCCTAAAGTAGTGTAAACTAACAATGGAAGGCTGCTGGGTGATTACTGTTCCGTATGATTTGTTATTGGCAATCACAGTGTCCCTTGATTCCTGTTCACGAGCTCGCTCTGCTGCTCTTTCAGCAGCATACTCTGGAGTGACAATTCCTCTACGATCTGTAAAAAATATTTGGCATTAATTATTGCAGGTTTAGAAAGGGTTCGTATCATACACACTTACTTACACACATGCTTACCAATAAGACTGGGAGAGAGGGGAGCACAGAGCACAAAAAAACAATTAGAGCAAACATTGCCCTCACTGTAAGGGTTTAACCCCTCCATTCCTGGCCTACTTGTAAACAGTCCCTTGATCTGAAAAATTGAGAGGAATAAACAGGAAAAAGTGCAACTAATTCTTACATCACAGTATGAAATATTTAAAATAAAGAGGCAACAGACTTACATCTTCATTTGTTGTTTGGTTGGATGCAGTCAAATAAGTGTGAAAGCCTGAGAGACCAAGAATTGTCCAAACACTAAAGAAACATATTACTCCAGATATTACACTTGCTGGAGAGTCCTTCACAGCTTCCAAAAACTGTCGATCATCCCGAGTTACTGGTAAAAATTATTTGAATTAATTCAATACATCTTTTTAAAACTATGCAACAATATCAACTAGAAAACCAGTATGAACTTACACAAAATTATGTGAGTGACTGCACACGCAAAAATAAACACACACAGAAATGCAAGGGATACAATAAATAAGTAAAAATGTCTATAATTTCTTTTTCCAACACAATTTCCAACCCAAGGACAGTGGTGATCAAATCTTTCTGTAAAATTAAACAAAAACAATTTTTGTAAGTCGGGAGAGTAATCACTATAATACAAAAACTTTAGAGGAAAGTACGGGTAGAAGGGTTTTATGTGATGATACATACCAACACAATTATCACAGAGACTGCAATGTGATGCCCTTGGTGGACGGAATATTTTACATGTAAAACAATATTTTAGCTTCACTGGATGACCACGTACACGTATCTCCTGTGTTCTAGGAGGTGGTCTTTGAGTAGGTGAGTTGGCATTGTTTGGAACTGAATAAAGAATACAACAAGTTGGGAAAGATACATCATTGATAGCAAGAAAGGGATTGTTGCAGCACTGGCAAATTAATTGATTTTCATACCAATTTGTTTTTCTATATAAGCAGCTTCATCCGGTGTTGCTCTGGGAATAACTCCCGGGTCACTGAAGCTTGTTCTCAGTAATGTAGACATGACAAATAAGAACATTAAAGCACCCACAACAGGAATTGCTGGGGTAATGCGTGCTGCTAAAAATGGGCAACTGAAATAGACAAAATCATTGAGCTATAAAAGAACACGAATGTAAAGATTGAAACCAACATTAATACAATTTTATGGGGAATAAGAATACAGTTGATTACAAGAAAAATAAATGCTTTTTAAGGGGGTGGGGCCAACGAAACGTTTGGAATCATGACAACTAGAACAGCAAATACATGTGTATCATAACCTCCTTAACAAGAACAAGGGTATGGTGAGAGAGCATACAATGGCAAGAATATCTCAAAAGTAATGAATTTCTAAGTTGAATTGGTGACATTTTCATAGGGAATTTCATACTTACTCAAAAGTAAAGAATAGCATGCTCGTCCCCACGATTAGACCCAGTGTCACATAGAATACACCTGTGTGGGGGGCAGTCATGATTCTTCCGTCGCAGCAGAATTTATTCTTCCCAGGAAACAATTCCCACTTTCTAGTGACGTGAGGCATAATTGTTCTTCAGGCAGCGACGCCTGCCCCAGCGGTGCATGAGGAATAATGAGGTCTGCCGATTAAATTGACCTTCCGACACGAGAGCATCGCACCCGCGGGGCTAAAGCCAGGCTAACGCAATGACAGGAGTGACAGGAGCAGATGGCGAAGGGACGCAAAGCAAAGATTCCCGCATTGCCCCGTCGTTCTGCGGAACACACGACTGAAGATGACGAAGTGCGAAGGAATGTGGGCACCTTCCATTAAAAAACTTCTATCATATCAATCATACAGCACAGCTGATAATCAGTTTATCTACTCGTAAACAAAACCGAGTACGTTCTCTTATTGGCTTCGTCAAAAAACAAAACACGGACGGCAATGGACTAAACTATGACCAAGTTTTGAACGTCGTTGTCTCGAGCCTCGAGCATAAGACGGTGCACGGTTTTGGTGCCTCGAGCCAAAACTTTCGGTCTTAAGGGGTTGCAAATATTTTTTGATTGATACACCATCTTTCACTTCTTTACGAACGTGATGCTATGTCTAGTTCCAGCAGTTGCCGAACACGTCGCGCTGCAGTCGCCGAGCGCGGCAAGCACCGATCGTTTGAAATGAAATGGTGTTCTACCGCACACTTACGCACCCCTATCGACAATTTCAATATTCGTCCTAAAATCTTATTTCTGTGAGTCAAGTATGTATACTTCGAAATTGTCACTTTGATTGCAATTGCAGAGTTGTAAAGAAGTTTGAAGAAGTTTGACGTTGAACGGTCTTCAAACACCAACAGTCAATTCCTTTTTTTAGATTAAAATATTGGTTTGGAAGCTGACATATTTCTGTAGAACACAATGCTTGCTCATTTATTTTTTTATGGTGACCTGCACATAACTTAATTCATTCTTACCCTAAACTTTGACACGAAAAAGGCACGTGAATGAAAACCGCACCGAGCAAAGTCAAAGCCGACCCGCAGAAGCGCAACACTTCCACCACACCCCACACACCTCACCGCGAACACACGCGAACAGGCTGGACTCTAATCTCACGAGCCCCGCACGCCGGCCCCTACCCGCCCCGCCCCGCTCCG